CCCATTAATTTTTCAGTGGACTGAGGCTAGAATTAGGAGCTCAACCCAGACACTGCTGGTTCCAGACATTTTGCTGCTTGAAATGGAAAAAAGTTTTTTGAAAAATTAAATACATTCCACTCATATGCTAGTCTAATTACTTTTAAAAGCTTAGAGAAAAGTTTGGGAGGGCCGCAAATGGTTTGAGTTGTGGGTTACAACTCTGGCGAATGGAATTGGGTGACCTTGGGGAAGTCACACTCTCTCAACCTCAGAAAAACCCTATGGTCTCCATAACTCAGAAATGACTCAAAGGGTCGAGATGCAAGAGTAACATCTCAGATTGAATGATACTTTGTCAGCCACTAAAATAGTATCTGATTATGTACAGTCTTCTCTTTTTTCTGTTTGGAATAATTAGCCATGTTTTCAAAACAGAAGGTGGAAAGCTAGATAGATAGCAACCTGCAGGAAGGCAAAGCAACACTGCAGCAGCTTCTTAGGGGAGGGCTTTAACAAAATTGAAGCCTTTCAACCTGTTAACCACAGAATAATAATAATAATAATACAGGCCCCCTACATTGGCAGTCTTTAGGAAGAGCTTGAAGACTTGGCTATTCCGGTGTGCCTTTCCAGAATAGGAAACCCAGCAATATGTCCCAGAAGCACTTTACTAGAGACTTAAGATTGTCCGCACATTGTACTTACCCAAAATCCTTATATTTCAACTGTCATACTCAGCACTTTTAATCTGTACCCATTTACACTTGACCCGGCCTTAGTTTTATTGTGCTATGCTGTATTGTTTTTACTGTTTACTGTTATTGCTTTAATGTTTTGATTTGCTTTATGGTTTATGTGTATTGTTGTATTGTTGTTTTATTGAGGCCTTGGCCTTTGTAAGCTGCATCGAGTCCTTCAGGAGATGTTAGCGGATACAAATAAAGTTAATAATAATAATAATAATAATAATAATAATACTGTGGGATTTTCGAATCCAGACTGACAAACTTTTGGAACACAATACACCAGACATCATGATTGTGGAAAAGAAAAAAAGTTTGGATTACTGATGTCGCCATTCCAGGTGACAGTCACATTGAGGAAAAACAACAGGAAAAACTCAGCCATTATCAGGATCTGAAAATTGAACTGCAAAGGCTCTAGCATAAACCAGTACAGGTGGTCCCAGTGGTCATCGGCGCACTGGGTGCCATGTCAAAAGATCTCAGCAGGCATTTGGAAACAATAAACATTGACAAAATCATGATCTGTCAACTGCAAAAAACCACCTTACTTGGATCTGCGCACATCATTCAAAAATACATCACACAGTCCTAGATGCTTGGGAACTGTTCAACTTTTTATTATTATTATTTTTGTTGTGTCAGGAGCAACTTGAGAAACTGCAAGTCGCTTCTGGTGTGAGAGAATTGGCCGTCTGCAAGGATGCTGCCCAGGGAATGTCCAGATGTTTTGATGTTTTTACCATCCTTGTGGGAGGCTTCTCTCATGTCCCAGCATGAGGAGCTGGAGCTGATAGAGGAAGCTCATCCACGCTCTCCCCGGATTCGAACCTGTGACCTGTCGGTCTTCAGTCCTGCTAGTACAGGGGTTTAACCCACTGTGCCACTGGGGGCACTTTTGATTTTGTGATACGAAATTCGGCATATAGATCTAATTTGCTGTGTTTTTGTGTCAGAATAATAATAATAATAATAATAATAATAATAATAATAATAATAATAAATTTATTTTTATACCCCGCCACCATCTCCCCAAAGTGACTTGGGGTGGCTTACAAGGGGACAAGCCCAATAAAATACAGGTTAAAACACACACAATAAAATAAAACAAAATAAAATCAAGGGTGACATCAGAGAAACATTACAATTACATTACACATTTTAAAGACAGTATCATTGCTGAAAGAATGAGTGTGGAGGGATCAGGGAATGTGCAACTGTTTCTAGACAAAGCCTACGGAAAGTGCAAGGTGTGCTTCAAGTCAGATTAAGGTCTGATATCTGATCTGCAAAGTAGAGACAAGATCCAGACCAGTTGCCAGTGATAACATGGTGCAGCCAGTAGGTAGAGAGGGGCAATCCACCTGAAATAAGATCTTTCAGGGTCTGCAACCATCTTTGACTCCAAGGTTGGCTCCACCATGGAGAGTAGGGCAGCAATACATCGGGGTGGGGGTGGAGGGTCAAGATAAGGGATCAAAAGTTAGTTATGAATTCACTGTTGCCCTATTTCTACTTCCAAGCATTTTTGTGGGACTTGTTTGCCTCAGATGCCATAATAGCCTCGCTGGCTATTATGAGTCTTGATTGGGAGTGGGGGCCCTTCCACATGACCCCATATCCCAGAATATCATGGCAGAAAATCCCACAATATCTGCTTTGAACTGGGTTATCTGAGTCCACACTGACATATATTCCAGTTCAAAGCAGATAATGTGGGGCTTTATTCAGCTGTGTAGAAGGGCCCTGGGACCCCATTTACTGCCCTGCCTCAAGCAGCAGAGTGTCTTGGGTTTTCCCCAAACACTCTCCAGTTGCCAATGCTGTAGGTAGGAGCCCCCGGTGGCGCAGTGGGTTAAACCCTTGTGCCAGCAGGACTGAAGACCGAGAGGTCGCAGGTTCGAATCCAGGGAGAGGTGGATGAGCTCCCTCTATCAGCTCCAGCTCCTCATGCGGAGACATGAGAGAAGCCTCCCACAAGGATGATAAAAACAGCAAATCATCCAGGCATCCCCTGGGCAACGTCCTTGCAGATGGCCAATTCTCTCACACCAGAAGCAACTTGCAGTTTCTCAAGTCACTCCTGACACGACAAAAAAAAAGTGCTGTAGGCATCCTCAGCCACCAGTCCAGTTGATTCCTATATGTGCAATAAAATGTGTATGTGCATGCACAAATGTGCTTTATTCCATACATTGCCTCAGGCAGCAAGATATCTTTGGGCAGTCCTGCTTAACTTGAATCTACAAGCCAGCCCTCAGAGGATAGGAATGAATTCCAGGGAGATTGCGATAGTACAGTACAAACCCTATATCTGTGGGGAATATGTCCCTGCACTTTGAATGACTATACAAAATTGCAGATAACTCTATGTCACATAATATTTGTTCCTGGGATATAGATGACATTTCCTACTTGGTTCTATCTTAAAAACATGGAAAAGGTTTATTAAATTGCTAAAACTATGGACATTTTGCCACACGTTTAGCTCTAGTTTTTCAATGAATATCTCATAGAGTCTCAACCAATACAACATAGTTTGTGGTAGCCACAAAAACAAAGTTTCTGGAGTATAAAAACTACTTTCAAAGTAAGTACAGCACAATTAAACAGGAAATGACGCTTTCAAACCAAGAACAGAATTTATTTCAAACTAGCTGTCCCCTGTCACTCGTTGCTGTGGCCCAGTCGGTTTATATGTGTTTTCCGTGTGTATATATGTGTCTATATGTGTCTATATGTGTGTTTGCGTGTGTGTGTGTGTATATATATATATATATATATACACACACACTAGCCGTCCCCTGCCACTCGTTGCTGTGGCCCAGTCTGTGTATTTTGTGTTTTGTGTGTGTATATATGTGTGTATCATAGAATCATAGAATCAAAGAGTTGGAAGAGACCTCATGGGCCATCCAGTCCAACCTCCCTGCCAAGAAGCAGGAATATTGCATTCAAATCACCCCTGACAGATGGCCATCCAGCCTCTGTTTAAAAGCTTCCAAAGAAGGAGCCTCCGCCACACTCCGGGGCAGAGAGTTCCACTGCTGAACGGCTCTCACAGTCAGGAAGTTCTTCCTCATGTTCAGATGGAATCTCCTTTTGGTAGTTTGAAGCCATTGTTTCACGTCCTAGTCTCCAGGGCAGCAGAAAACAAGCTTGCTCCCTCCTCCCTGTGGCTTCCCCTCACATATTTATACATGGCTATTATATCTCCTCTCATCTATTCTTCAGGCTAAACATGCCCAGCTCCTTAAGCCGCTCCTCATAGGGCTTGTTCTCCAGACCCTTGATCATTTTAGTCACCCTCCTCTGGACACATTCCAGCTTGTCAATATCTCTCTTGAATTGTGATGCTCAGAATTGGACACAATATTCCAGGTGTGGTCTAACCAAAGGGGTAGCATGACTTCCCTAGATCTAGACACTATGCTCCTATTGATGCAGGCCAAAATCCCATTGGCTTTTTTTTGCCACCACATCACATTGTTGGCTCATGTTTACCTTGTTGTCCATGAGGACTCCAAGATCTTTTTCACACGTACTGCTCTCAAGCCAGGCATTGTCCCTCATCTCTCTATGTGTATATATTTGTGTATCTTTTGTATATATGGTTTTGTGCATGATTGTAATGTTTTTTTTTTTTGGCTTTTAGTCTCTTCTGCTGTGTTTTTCAGTGTTTTTATGAGTGATGATCACTTGTTGGCCTGATAGGTGTATTGTGTCCAAATTTGGTGTCAATTCTTCCAGTGGTTTTTGAGTTATGTTGGTCCCACAAACAAACATTACATTTTTATTTATATAGATTTTGTTACATAGTGTAACAGCAAAAACTATTGAAAGTGTTTGGGTCCAAGCATACCATTGAGTAGGCCTGGAAAATGCTTCGATTGGTTATATTTTGTTAGAAGTGGGTCAGTGTAATAGTTCCAATTCCACAGATAAAGGGGTCATACTGTACAGTGTTGGGGAACATATGTGTGGTTGCTAAAAACAAGCATGTGTGTGTGTGTCATGATTTCATAGGGGTTTCTTAGGCAAAGGATACTCAGGGGTAGTTTCGCCAGTTTCTCCCTTTGAAATAGAACTTATGGCACTGAGTATTCGTGGTGATTCCCCATCTAAGCACTAACCTCGACTGATTCTGCTTAGCATCCACTTTCTCCATATGTCAGTCACCCTAGGAGAAGCCCCGCCCCCAGCTCGTGCTGGCCCCGCCTCCCCCGGGCGCGCGCGACCCCTTCCCTTCCCTTTCCTCGCCGGGCAGGAGCCTTTCTTGGGCGGGCGGAGGGAGAGAGGGAGGCGGGGGTAAGACTGCGGTGGGCGGCGACGCCAACCAGCGCAATTGTTAAATGCCCTCGCGCTGTCGGCGGGCCCCGCTTCTGCTCCGCGGAAGGAAGCGATGGGTCGGGCGGGCGGGCAGCCTGGGTCCTGAGCGGGGAGTCCGGCGTGGACCAGCATGCTGGGACCCAGCGTGGAAGCCCGGCGGGTCCACCGTCCGCCCCAGCCGCCCGCCCCGGACCCCGACCCACAGCAGCGCTGGGCCCGGCTCTTCGACCAGCTGGACGCCAACAAGGACGGCCGCGTGGATGTCAACGAGCTGCGCGAGGGCCTGGCCCGCATGGGCATGGACGCCGGGGCCCACGCCGAGCAGGCGAGTCTGTGTGGGGGGATGTCTCTCTCTGTGTGTGTGGAGGCTGGCTTTCCAACACCGTCCGCTCTCCCCCCCCCCCCCCATCCCTTTCCAACCTGACTCAAGAACACAATCCTTCTTGCCTGCCTGCCTGCCTGCCTGTCTGTCTTTTCTTCCTTCCTTCTTTCCTTCCTTCAGGTCTAACCTGGCTCCCTAATACCTCCCTACCTTCCTTCCTACCTTCCTTCTTTGGCTCTAGCCTGACTCTCTAATAGACTCCGTCCTTCTCTCCTTCCTTCCTTAGCTGTAATCTGGCCCCCTAATACAGTCCGTCCTTCCTTCTTTGACTCTAACCTGGCGCACTAATAGAGGCCTTCCTTCCTTCCATCCATTCTTCCTTCCATCCATCCATCTGTCCTTGGCTGTAATCTGGCTCCCTAATACAGTCTGTCCGTCCTTCCTTTTTTCCTTCCTTGAGCTCCTACCTGGCTCCCTAATGCCTTCCTTCCTTTCTTCCTCCTTTCCTTCCTTAAGTTTTAACCTGGCTCCCTAATGCCTTGCTTCCTTCCTACCTTCCCTTTCTTTCTTTCTTTCTTTCTTTCTTACTTCAGGTTTAACCTGGCTCCCTAATGCCTCCTACCTACCTACCTACTTACCTACCTACCTACCCACTTACCTACAGGTCTAACCTGGCTCCGTAATACCTCCCTACCTTCCTTCCTACCTTCCTTCTTTGGCTCTAGCCTGACTCTCTAATAGACTCCGTCCTTCTCTCCTTCCTTCCTTAGCTGTAATCTGGCCCCCTAATACAGTCCGTCCTTCCTTCTTTGACTCTAACCTGGCGCACTAATAGAGTCCTTCCTTCCTTCCTTCCTTCCTTCCTTCCTTCCTTCCTTCCTTCCTTCCTTCCTTCCTTCCTTCCTGTTTATTCTGCCCAAGATGACTCAACAAACGACAACTGTCACCTACCTACCTACCTACAGGTTTAACCTGGCTCCCTAATGCCTGTTCCTTCCTTCCTTCCTTCCTTCCTTCCTTCCTTCCTTCCTTCCTCTCTAACCTGGCTCCCTAATGCCTTCCTTCCTTCCACTCTAACCTGACTCCTTAATACCTTCCTTCCTTCCTTCCTTCCTTCCTTCCTTCCTTCCTTCCTTCCTTCCTTCCTTCCTTCCTTCCTTCCGCTCTAACCTGGATCCCTAATACCTTCCTTCCTTCTGGTTTAACCTGGCTCCTTAATACCTTCCCTCCTTCCTTCCTTCCTTCCTTCCACTCTAACCTGGCTCCCTAATGCTTATCTTCCTTTTTTTCCCTTCCTTTGGCTCTAATCTGGCTTTCTAATACAGTTCTTCCTTCCTTTTTCACATCCTCCAGCTCTAACCTGGCTCCTTAATTGTTACCTTCCTGCCTTCTTTTTTCCCTTCCTTCAGTTCTAACTTGGCTCCTTAATGAGCCAACAATGCCATGCCATGGCTTAAAAAGCCAATGGGATTTTGGCCTGCATAAATAGGAGTTAGTGTCTAGATAAATAAATAGATAGGAGCCCCCAGTGGCACAATGGGTTAAACCCTTGTGCCGGCAGGACTGAAGACCAACAGGTCGGAGGTTCGAATCAGGGGAGACTGTGGATGAGCTCCCTCTACCAGCTCCAGCTCCCCATGCGGGGACATGAGAGAAGCCTTCCACAAGGATGATAAAACACCAAAAACATACAGGTGTCCCCTGGGCAACGTCCTTGCAGACGGCCAATTCTCTCACACCAGAAGCGACTTGCAGTTTCTCTAGTCACTCCTGACACACACACACACACACACACAAGTCTAGATCCAGGGAAGTCATGCTATCCATCTATTCTGCCTCTATTCAGACTGCACCTGGGCACTGCAATTGAAGGGAGCTGGAATGTTTCCAGAGGAGGGTGACTAAAATGATCAAGGGTCTGAGAACAAGTCCTATTACAAACGGCTTAAAGAGCTGGGCATGTTTAGCCCGCGGAAGAGAAGACCGAAAGGTGACATGATGAGGACCATGTATAAATGTGTGAGGGGAAGTCATAGGGAGGAGGAAGCAAGCTTGTTTTCTGCTGCCCTGGAGACTAGGACGCGGAACAATGGCTTCAAACTACAAGAAAGGAGATTCCACCTGAACATTAGAAGAACATCCTAACTGTGAGAGCTGTTCAGCAGTGGAACTCTCTGCCCTGGAGTGTGGTGGAGGCTCCTTCTTTGGAGGCTTTAAAACAGAGGCTGGAAACTATCTGTCAGGGGTACTTTCAATGTGATTTTCCTGCTTCTTGACAGGGGGTTGGACTGGATGGTCCACAAGGTCTCTTCCAACTCATTTTATTAGGGAGCCAGTCTATACACTATTCTATGGTGCTAAAACTTTCCTTCCCTTTTCCCTTCCTTCATCACTAACCTGGCTCCCTAATACCTTCCTTCCTTCCTTCCTTCCTTCCTTCCGTCCGTCCGTCCGTCCGTCCGTCCATCCGTCGCACTAACCTGGCTCTCTAATAGAGTCCTTCCTTCCTTCATTCATTCATTCCTTCCTTTTACTCTTCCTTCAACTCTAATCTGGATCCCTAATACCTTCCTTCCTTCCTTCCTTCTTTCCTTGGCTCTAACCTGGCTCTCTAATAGAGTCCTTCCTTCCTTCCTTCCTTCCTTCCTTCCTTCCTTCCTTTTACTCTTCCTTCAACTAATCCTGATACCTAATACCTTCCTTCCTACCTTCCTTCCCTCCTTCCTTGGCTCTAACCTGGCTCCTCTAATAGAGTCCTTCCTTCCTTCCTTCCTTCCTTCCTTCCTTCCTTCCTTCCTTCCTTCCTTCCTTCCTTCCTTCCTTCCTCTTCCTTCCTCTTCTGACTTCCAAACCTACCTACCTACCTTCCTTCCTTCCTTCCTTCCTTCCTTCCTTCCTTCCTTCCTTCCTTCCTTCCTTGGCCTAACCTGGCTCTCTAAAAGAGTCCTTCCATCTTTTTTCCTTCCATCCTTTCGTCTTTCTTTCTTTCTTTCTTTCTTTCTTTCTTTCTTTCTTTCTTTCTTTCACTCTCTCTCTCTCTGGCTCCAACCTGACTCCCTAATACAGCCCCCCCCCTCCATACAGGCCTTCCCTCCCTCCCTCCATGGCCTCCTATTTTTCCTGTTTCCTTTCCTAAGGGTATTCAAGTGGGTTGCCTGAATGTCCATGCAATATCTTCTAGAATTTCTCCCTTTTTGTGGGAAGGGGCTGATTTCATATTTGCTTCTGATCAGCCTTGGTCCCTTTTTGGCTTGCTTTAGGTGATGCAGAGCCTATTAAGCAGGATAGATCGAATCTTTCCTTGCACACTAATGAAAGGGAGGCTTTGCTTATGAGTCACCCACTTTAGCTCCCACTCGGGACTAGAAAAGCTCTTTGCCACTCTCTTCCCATCCCCCGTCATCATCAATCCCATTCTCAGAAAAATGACCGAATAATTTAATCCTCCAACTTCAATGTGGCACAAAGATGCTGCCACAATTATGCAGCAAGGCTCTGTAGCAAAGGGTGCAATAGGTTGTTGTGTGCCTTCAAGTCATTTCTGACCTACAGAGACCCTAAGGCAAACCTATTGCAGGGGGTTTGGGGCTGGATTTGATCAATAGAGGTTTGTCATTGTGGTCCCTTAAGGCTGGGAGAGTGTGATATGTCAAGGTCACTGAGAAGGGGTGCTTCATGGTCGAGTGGAGATTGATGGTCGAGTGGAGGTAGGTGCATTTTCATGGAGAGGATAGTAGGGGAGAGGGAACAAGGGCATCTATTATTATTTATATATTTACAGTATTTATATTCCGCCCTTCTCACCCCACAGGGGACTCAGGGCAGATTAAAATGTACATATACATGGCAAACATTCAATTCCATAGACACACAGCATATATAGACAGACACACAGAGGCTATTTAACATTCCAGCTTTTTCATGAGGGTATTCTGGCCACCAGGGGAGCTGTTGCTTCACTGTCCATTTGTGACACTGATGAAGTACTTCCTCATTCTTTGCATGCTTGCTGGAGATTTTTATGGCGCCATAAATTAGTCTACCTGCATAAGTGGTACCTAAACATCCTACTTGACTTGACGGGCTGCAAAGGTCAACAGCAAGCTACACAAATTAGTCGGAAGCTCACCCCCACCCAGGCTGGCTTTGAACTCATTACCTTTTGGTCAGTAGTGATCTTAATGTAGCTGACTCCCAGCCAGCTGCAACAGTTTCTAGATGGGAAAAGACCTAAACTGGTACATTTTTACTAGTCTGGGGAAGGATGGATTTTGGCTTACTCCAGTTGGACAAGCAGAATGTGTTCTTACAAAAGTACTGTCTTCTATTGCAGCCAAAGAGCAATACATTCATTGAGATAGCAAGATGCAGATTGTAGATATAAAACAGATTTAACCCCTTGGATGTGGCTTTAACATCATTGAGGATACCCAAGCTGAGTGACAGAAATGTCTTTGGCATGCAATGTATGAGTGGGTAACACCAGGAGTCCTAAACCAATGGGGTGCAGGGTTATGAAGCTGGACTATCAAGATCAGCTAACCCTGCTTTTGGACATGCTACTCAGAATAGGAGTTGTCGTGTGTATAGACTTCTGGAGGAAAGCTGGCATTGTTCGTCTGCTGTGGGAGCAAAACAGCAAAGTGGCGCCATTGAAGAATTTACAGATTTATTATGGCATAAGCTTCCGCGAACCAGCATCCATTTCATCAAATGCAGGCAGCGTTATGCTCACTTGGCAGCTTTCTCTCTGCATGTATGTTTATGCACATGGGAGATGGGGGGAATTTAAACTGGCAAGGCAACAGGGAAAGTACCATCTGAGAAAATTCAGTGAATGTGTGAAATATGTGTCCAATTAAGTACAGTGATCATGGATTTCCTGGAGTAGAGAGATTGATGCTAATCTCTGCAAATACACAATCTCTGGGCGTTTCCGGATAGAAGGCTTATATTTAAAATATAGTACAACTATTCTAGGTTTTTTTCCTTAAGATATTTTT